CTTGAAAAGGAAAACAGCGCCGAAGCCCTTCATCGAAGACGACGAACACAGAGCCCTTCATCGTCGTCGAGCACCAGAGAAAAGATTGACGAACTAAGGAATCAAACCAGGGTTTCGAGCGAATACCCATACGATACACAGACACTAACATCCTAAAAATGTACATAATAGCTAAATATTAGAGTAAGAATATTAGAGTAAGAATTTTTTTTTTTGAATTGAAAAGGTACATAAATGTTGTATGAGAGGACCCAATATAGGCGCCCTACCCATACGATACACAAACACTAACATCCTAAAAAAAATAAGACATAGATAAAACTCTAAAATTCATAACTCACAGAAAATCAGTTGCTAGGGACAAGTCAGCTTGGTCTCGCCTCTGGTTCTAGGAATTGAGCCAGCTAACAAATTGCCGAGTGTCGTGTCATTACCCGAAGTTACTAAAGTATCATCCATTAAGTTCCCAAGCTGGTGTGTGCCTTCATTCTTCTTTTTCTTCCTAGATGTGTATATCTGTCATTCCTCATCCGAAGATTGGCTCATCTGATTGATGTGATCAACAGATTGTCGGGCATGTAGAAGAGGATGAGCCCCTAGCTCCTGATTAATAATAACAACGTTCTCATTCTGAAGAGATGGTAAATCTCTCCTCAGCACCTGATGTTTCCTGAGGTTGTGGAACTGCGATACTATCGTGATTATCAGACCGAATAATATCCTTTGGAGGTAAGGATCTTGCAGTATTGTTTTCAATAGTGATAGAGACTGTAGGATGCCTAAGTGAACCATCTGCCAATACATCAGTCAGAAGAGCATAAAAAGTATTGTCTCCGACATTAGGAGGGAGAGGTGACATCGTGTCAACCGGTGCTTCAAAGTCTGTGGAATGCACTTGGGGGCGGAAGAGGGACATGTATGAAGTGGGGCAGATTCAGTAACATTTTTACTCTGAGATTTTAGATTTAGATGCAAATGATAACATTGAGAAAGAGAGTGTACAAACATCCGACAGTGGGTGCAATAAAGAGGTATCTATTCAAGTTATGCTTGCTTCCAAAATCCCTGATGCTGTGTGTCAATCCATCTCTCCCGGAAAAGGTAAAGTAATATCCCGTTCTATCAAAATTCTGGCTTCAGAAGGCTGAGTCAGATTCATTATAAGCATATCAGTTTTGAGAGGTTTACCGTATACCATCGCTAAAGCGAAGATGAGCTCTTGATCGTAAAGGTGGACCTTCAAACCTGGGAAGCACAGTCAAACAAGAATGGTAGGAGGTTCAGTACGAGGGTCAAAATCTACCGTTCATTTTAAAACCTTCATCACCTGGTTGTATATTCAAAGGAGTCTTCTCTCAAACAAATGAGCATAATCTGTATCATTGATAATTGAATGAGAATGTGCCGACCATCAAATTTACCAATCTTTCAACCCCCTTTCAGCTTCATTTGCTCAAAATCCTTTCGAATTAGCTCAAGTTTAGGGCTTTCATAAAGAAACTTACCTACTAAGAACAATCAGCAGGGCGCAGCTAGGGTGGAGATCTCGGCCGCTGTGAGAAAGATTGCATGTTTGCCATTTTTACGGGATGTTTTTTTGAGAAATTCGGTTCCAACGCCTAGAGAAAAAGTATCGTGGTAACTTTGCGGAAACATATTCGAAAGACGGTCGGGAGCGGGATTATCACCAGTGAGGGTGGCGGCGTAGGGAAGAACCCCTAAAGCCATCACCTTGGCCGGTGCTTCACTGCGTGAGCATTATCGCTGAGCAGCGGGACGTAGTCTGCGATCGAGGACGAATGCACTTGACGCAGACGACAAGCGGCGTGCGAAGCAGCAAAACAGCGACGTGTGACGAGGGTGAAAAGGCAGCGATGGAAACAACGACTTGCGACGAGGAAGCCAAGCAGCGACGACGCGGTGCCGACGTAGCTGTCCAGAGAAGACGACCGAGAATGAAGAAAACTCAGTAAACAACGAGCGAGATTGTATCTGAAGCCAACGAAACAGTAGCCACGCACGAAGACGATGGAGTGAAGCCGGAGGTTAACGCTGAGTTTCGCCATCGGGCGAAACCCTAGCAGAGCTCGGCGCCATTTTCATATATGACTTATATATATGTATATATATATACATACATGCGTGCGTACGTACGTACATACATTCGTGCATACGTACATACATATTATCAAAAATTTATTTTTTTTGTTAATTAATTATTAAAATATGATCAAATTTGAATTTTTTATTATTGTTTTTGCAAATATTGGATTATATGAGTATCTTTAAATCCACTTTAAATGATTAATTACTTATATTAATTAAATTTGTTGTTAAAAATTACTAAATAGTGTTAAATATTTGAAACAAATCATTTTATTCACTTGGATAACATTGTATGTTTATTAAAAAATTATCATTTTAAAAATTTAACTAATTTAAAATTTATTAAATGTTAAAATAATAATAATGATACCAACAATTGGATTAAAATAAATAGTCCCAATTAAAAAATTTATCTCTCCCCATTTTGACTCTAAATGAGGTGAAATAAAGTTTAACTTTTTTTAAGATTATTTACTATTTTATGGAAATAATTAATAACATGATTGTTTTCAATTTTCTTCTATTAGAGTGGGTCGATTATCTCTATTTGCTAAGAGATGGCCTGATAATTTGAGATAATGGAAATCTAGATTTTGATCGTGTTCATTATTATTCCCCTATTAACTAATATTGATTTATTTTCCTTGTATCTAATCCAAAGTATTGCTTCTAAAACAAGTTGCTTTCGAGCATTTAAATTTGCTTTAAAAATTCTCTCTTGCTTAAGAGGGATAATTTATCATGGGGCTTTCACCCCTAAGAAACCTTGAATTTGTTTATAAAGTCTTTTTTAAGAGTAAAAATTGTATGCGATGTCTTATATAATACTTAAGCTCTTTTTTAAAAAATCAACTTATAATCACTTGAATATAACAATTGGGTGGGAACTTTTATATTAAACGTTAATTGAATTTTAATATTTAATCTTAAATTGATTTCTAAATGAAATGCATTTAGTTATATCAGATGTTTCTTTGAAATGACGTGGATATAATAAAGGTGAGTATTTGTTAGTAATCTACCTAAACTATTCATGTTTGACACATTTAAGAAGCTCCTTGCTCATGCCACCTTACAAAGTACATAAAAAGCTTTGATCAAATGCATATATTATTAATTTTATTATTGGCTTGAATCTTAGTGTCTCTTTCAATGTTGACGATTATGTACCATATAGCGGTAATTTCAAGCCATGAAAGTTTTCAATAGGTATCTCTATGTGTGTAGTTTCTTCATCCCTTTAGTAACACTAGGTCTAGTTTTGCCACCACCCTTAATCCTAGACGTTGAGCAAATTGTGCCAGTGACACGGTAAACGCCACGTCTCTGTCCTAGACCGAACTGGTCCAAGCTTTTGGAGGGCCGACCGCCCCTCTAACCTAAGGAGCGCAGCCTCCCTTCACGAGGGGGCCCACTCCTATTTATCAAGCGTTATAAATTTGCTCGTGTTGGCTTTACGGTTTAGTCTTTTTGTTATGTTTGTTTTAGGACAGTTGTTAGGTCTTTTTTTTTTCTAGGGATATATCCAAGGGTTCTGAGTGGTGCTTTGGTTGTATCTCGTCCCTGAGGTAATGTTTCCCCTTCCAATACCCTTCCCCATCCTTTTACTGCACCGACTTCCTTACCCTCGCAGGTCCACCTGTGCTACCGCCACCCTAAGCCCCCCCTCGCATCTTCGCTACAATTGCTTTTAATATCCCTTTTCTTGCCATCGCATCTAGGATAACAAACCTTTGCCGTTCTTGTTGTTTCCATCCCCATTTCCCTTGTTGCCTTTGCCTATGACAACCAATTCATTTGTTGTTCCGGCAGTTCCTCATTTCCTCTTACTGCTGCCATCTCCCCCTTATTGCGGCCTCACATACCAGCCAACTAACCTCTCCTTTGCCATCTCTCTGGAGGCCCAACTCCTTGTCGGCACCACTTACATCCTGGATTCAACCCTCGGGCTGGTATTGTGTGTTGTTTGTTGCAATTTCAAATTTTTATATTGTCTTATTGTATTTCCTATTTGAATTCAACAATAATATTTGTTTCCACTTGATTGTGTGATGAATTTCTGTATCAGTCAGATAAGTTATTCTGGGTTCTTCGGGTGAATGGTTTCCTTGTATTATAAATGAGTTCCCTTTTTCTGGCGTTTTAAATATTTATTTATTTTTTATTTTTTATTCTATAAATGAGTTCCCTAAAGCTAAGTAGAGATTATTAACTGAATGAAACGAAGAGCCATTCAAGGCCTCTCTTTTCTCATATTCTTTCCCTCTCGTATTTTTTCTATTTTCCCCCTCGTTCATCAATATGTGGTTTTGGAACTAATCATTGATTTAGCTGTTTACTTTGCGGATATTTATACCTTGCTTTTAATTTCCATTGTAGGAGTGCAGTTTATGGATATTGAAATACAACATTGTATTGTCATAATTTTATATACTTGTCATATCTAGATGCTTGTTATTTTGTTGATATGTATGTAGGTGTAAAAATTCTAGAACTGACTAGCTTCACACATTAATATATCCTATATTGAAATAACTAACTTATTTGGAGTTTTGATTCTTTTTTTTTGGTCTATTTAGTGAGTCAGGCTTGAAGCAGCTAGTTCTTGTTACAAATTTTGAAACTTAAAATTCTCAGGCCAACACATCTACTCCTGTGCACGCAGTTGTGTTTTTCTGCATATGGGTATTTGTTGTATGATGCATTTGCTCTTACACTAAAGCATTTTATCCATTAGTTGATTAAGATCCTATTTTAATAGGAACTTTACCTGATTCTTTGTTTTTTGTGATGAATAGTGCATTTATATGCTCATTTTCATCAGCAATGAGTTATGATCTGATAGATTTTTAACAGTTCCTATAGTTTCGCTGAGACAAATTTTGATCTGATAGGCTCATTGATGATGCTTTGACTAAAGGGGTAAAAGTTGCTGTTTGCAGTACATCAAATGAGAAGGCGGTATGTATTATCAAGTTTCTGATGAATATCGATTACTTTTTTTCTTATAGTAAATCTTGAGATTTTTTATGTATGCAGTTATGGTTTTCAATGGCTTCAAAAAAATTGACAAATGGTCATTACTAAATCTTTAAAATTTTTTTAGCATTTTTAAGTTTAAGATATTTTAGGCCATGTTTGGATTTGTTAAGCTTTTGTTTTGATTTGATTTTATTTTATGTTCACTTATGATAAGATTATATTTTGATTGTTGTTTCATGTTTGAGAAACTAGTATAAAAAATATTTTTGACAACAAAAACATGAAAGCATAATTGATTGATATGGTATTATCATGATTATTTTTTTATAATTAATTCCACATATGAATAATCATTATTTAGTATTAATAAAATCAAAATTCATTCAATTTGCCATAATTTGTTGAAACTTATTTAAGTAATTAATAAATGAATCGTCCCATCTCAAATTAATTCAATATAAATATAACTTTAATTATCTTAATGAAAACTTAATTGGAAGAGGATCACGACGGCGTGGTAGAGTGTGGAACACTGTTAGAGATAAAGGCTGAAGACTCGGTTGAATTAATGGAGTTGCCAAGCATGACAAGCCTTCGGCTTTCTTCGCAACAGATCTGGGTGAATGCTGCCTGAGTTGAAGGAAGAGGACCACGACCAAGTATACGACAACGGACTTTGTCGAGATCCTTGTTCAGGCTCGTCAGAAATTGGAACACACTATCATTTTCTAGAATTTTTTCGAGGAGTGGTAGATCCGCAAGAGAGTCTCATGTGTAGTCATAGAAGATGTCACATTCCATCCATAAGGAAACCGATTCGTTATGGTACTGGGTCACTGTTTTTAAGCCATGTTTTGCCTCACAGATTTTATTAGAAACTTCATAGAATTATTTGAATTCCCTACGTTTGACTAGGTTTCTCAAATGACAATTCAGAGGGGCATTGGCAGACGAAAGAAATAGGTATGACAAATCGAGGTTTTCTTGGAATTAATCATCCATGACATAACTATAGAGTTCTCCACTTCCCATGCTGCATATGTTGGTCAGCCTTTGGAAGTTCACAAATCATATATGTGAAGTGGCCGAATTTACCTCTACCTTTGATGAACAACGAAATAGCTTGAGATCGTTGGAGGAAATTCGAGCCGTTGAGTTTACGAGTGGTAATAAAAAGATTCATGGGGCTGTCATGTTCTCTAATCTGCGGAGAGATTGAGGTAGGTGCCTATCGTTCGGTGGACTCAAGGACAACATCGGATGGGTGTCGAGACATAGACATAGATGGTCCCTTAAGCAGCTGACAGCTAAATAGGGCCAGGGGAAGATTCTAGCCGGACGGAGGGAGATCCGGCGGTGGGAGAACCTGCAGAGGAGAGATTTGGCTGCTTGAGGAAGATCTGGCTGCGAGACAGCCAGCAGGGGAGTGCCCGATGGCGAGAAAGCCTGCAGGCAAGGGTAATCGCGGCTGAAACCTGCAGGGGAGAGACCGACGGTGGGAATTCGATGGCTGAAAACTGTAGGGGATGGCTTGTAGGGAAGTTTCGACAACTAGGGTAATGTCTTGACGGCTAGGGCAAGATTCATGACTTTGTATCTTGTAGGTTTGGAATTGAGCAAGACAATAATTTTGCAATTGAAAGGGGTATAACTACATGATACAATGATTCTAAAATAAGAAAAATATAATACCCAAATCTCACTCCATGATATAGGATATAGGATGATATTACAGAAGTTATAAACTAGGAAAAATAACAAATAGGATATAACCGGAAAGGAAACTAAATAATTAACACTATTAATAGTAAATTATTGATATTAAACATGTGTGTAATTAATTTAGACATGTTTTAATTGTGCTTTTTATTAATTATGCTGGATTTATTTTATGTTATGTAATAAAGACAAATGTGATCCTTTTTTGTTCGAGCCTTGAGTGTTTTGGCAATTTTGTGAGTCCCAATTGTATATAAGTATGTGGAGTTTTTTTTTTTTTAAATCAACGAATGATTGAATGAAGAATCATGAAAAATAACTTCTTGAAACCCCAGTGTTCTCTCTTCAAGGGCAAATTTTGACATCTCATTTATGCAAATGTTCAGCTACCTCCTCTCTTCTCCGGACTGTTTCTTCTCTTCCTATTTCGGAAAGAGCTCTCTTGGTGATGAAGATTTGAGGTGAGCTCGTTTCAAGAAGGCTTGAAAGTGAATATCACATTGTTTTGATGGTCATCTTGTTATGTGATTTATAAATGCAATGTTGTCTTTAAATCATTACTTTTTCTTTAGTTTTGAATCACCGTGATCACGGCTGATGGTTGATCCATGTGCCTCGCTTGTATCTATTGATTTTGTTTGATGAAGATTGAAGGTCGCTCTAAAAATTCCACCAATTAAATAAAAAATCTTGTAAACAAATCTTGGCTTCAAGTAGAGAAGAAAAAAGAAAGAAAGGACCAAAAAAAAAAAAAAAAGAGAGGCAAGAAATGTTTCTCTTGTCATGATATTCACCAGCTTTACTGCTGGTGCACTCACTCTCTTCTGACGATGATTTCCTAGGTTTTCATCTTGTTTTAATTGGATGATTGGACTTTCATCACCAATTCTATCTTTGAAAGTTTTTCCCATTGTTTCAAAAGTGTTTATTTATTATAATTCATGAAATGCCGGTAGGTGTTCTCTTATTGGGGTATTTGTTCATTATTCTGCATGGGAATTGAAGACCTGTTTGAGAAATACGTACCTTAATTTTTATATATTTATATAACTATCGGTTGCCAATTTAGTTTATTTTTTTGACAACTGGAACTATATAATTGTTGCAGGTTTCAGCCATAGTTTCCTTCTTGTTGGGTCCTGAGAGAGCTGATAAGATAACAATCTTTGCTGGAGATGTTGTTCCTCGAAAAAAGCCTGATCCGGTATTTATGAAAAAAAACTCTCTTTATTTTTGCTGTCTTTGACATTTATCCACTTAATGCTGTAACTGCTGTACCTGAGGATCCTTGAAAATTATAACCATGTTTTAGGCATGATAGTAGGATCGGGTAAAAAATTACTTTGCTTCTGTTTGGCTCCGAAACCGTGGAATTTGATATTTCAGCATGCAAATGTGACCTTTTTTTTTTTGTCTTAGCGCGCCATATTTCATCAATCTCCATCATGTTTTATTTCATAATGACCTTTGTGTCTTTTGGTTCTTTTGGCCATTTCTAATTTACACAACAATGTATTCAAATTTCTTCTTGGCTATTAGGTGATTCATATATAGATTATTAATATTTCTCACATCGAAACTTGAAACAAGCATTTGAGCGTTATATTCGAAAAGTAAAATTTGGACACCTATGTTTCAAAATATGGGAATATGTGAACGCTAAATTGGTAAATGAGTCGTATGTATTACCTTGAACACCTTTCTTTCATCAAGCACCTAGAAGCTGTGAGGAGCAGAGTTGGTTTATTAGATTAAAATAAATCTTCAACATGGGAATCACACGGATCCATTTATTGATAGTACTTTTGGTTGGCCTAACTCATGGGGTTATATCATTTTTGAAAAATCTGTTTGAACTAACTTATTAGGTCTAACTTGAGATTATCTACTCAGATCGTGATTTTGCTAGTCTTTTGAGTGTTTGATGTCAAATTATACACCCATGTTTAGTATCGATCAGTGCAATGCTGACATTCATCAATGATGTGTTTTTTTTTTCTTTTTCAAGCGGACAGTTGATTATCATATGGAAAATTTTTTATGGGAGGGATATTGTTGGTTTCCATTTCAAAATGATAATTGTCCAATATCCAATATCTAATGATAAAATAATAATTTGGCTCCGTCAATACCATGGATTTTCTTATGACTTTGGGTTTAAGTTTAATGGTTGGATTTATGTTTGGCGTTAGTATATCTCAACAATTGAGATAGGTTCTCCAACAAAAAAATACATGGTGGTAAACTTGATTTTGTACAGCAATAAGCATAAGAGGTAAGGATGTGCAAGGTTGGTATTGGTAAAGAGAAGTTGGCTATCATACTTTTTGTTGCAGCAAAATGTGCTCTTCTGTGTAACCTTTTAATATAGTTGATTTAGTTGGCATATATACTGGAACAAGTGAAGAAAATGCTGTTTTTAATGATTGTCGCGAGTTCAGAAATGATATTACTAGTATTGGTTGACCTAACCTATTGACTTTATTTTTCTAGTAAGGTTGGTGTTTGGTGTCACACTTGAGGTCGCAATGGTCATCAGGACAATGCGGGACATTAAGGCATTGATCTAAATTGGTAAGATTAATCTTGAAAAGTCAAGATCGATAAAAATTTTTTTATATTCAAGAAGGAAGCATTTATGTATAAATAGTTATGAACAAAAAATATAAGCTTAAATATAATGAAATAAAATTTCATTGCATCAATTGAGTCTTTAACCATAATTCGACTTGGAAACAAAAACAACTAATAGGAAAGATGGAAGATTAACTGCATAAAATAACTACCCAAATCGGTAGAAGTCTAAATGAAGAACTTTAATTTTAATTCATGCATTGAATTAGTGAAATAATTACTTTGAAAGGTTTGCTTTTAGAGTGATGTTTCACAAAGCAATCTGATAAATTTTATTAAAATAAATTTTTTTCCATAAATGAGTTTGATATTCAAACCCACAAGGCAACTTATGTTTATTAACTAATAAACAACAATACGTGAGGCTTGCAACACGAGCAATTTGAAAATCATAATTTATAATGTAATAGTAGTTTAATGATCATCATCATATCTGGGTTAGAATAAGACTTAGCATGAATGAAAGGTATCACTATTGTTAAGTTTATTTACATTATAGTAATATTGATACCATTTTGATACAAATCAAGAAAATTTTTCCATAGAACTTTGGGCGAAATATTTTTTTCTTTCCTAATACAAAACAACACAACACGAATGCATAAAGATAAGCACCTACAATTGGAGAGGCAAACGATCTCTCCCAACGCCTATAATTCGAGAGGTAGCTGATCTCTCCTAAATCTTAACCCTAAGACTCAAGACTAAAATTTCATGCATAAACATAATATGCCCTATTTATACCTTACAATAATAATTAATGAAAGACTGAATTACCCTTAGACGTCGGCGTAGCAATACTCCCATCCAAAAAAGATACATTGTGTAATAATCAGTTTTGAGAAATTGGATAAAAATTTTGACGACCTAAAATATATCCCAAATTTCGAATCCCTGAAATTGCAATCAAAATAATTTTATAAAATTCTACACGAAAAATTGATCAATTTAATATTTAATACTTGTATGTAAATTTTGAATGAATTGAAAGGTATAAAAAAATTATAAGTTAATTAACATAATTAAACCTTAATTAACCCTTCAAAATCTTGCATCACTGTCCCCAAACGACTTTACCCATGCTTTATATGCGTTGAATAGGGTAATCATCCGTCAAAACTCTCAAAACTTTTTCTCCCCTCCCGATACTCCTCTCCCTCCCTCTTGTTTCGCTCGACAGAAGACTTAAGGGTGGAAGTTGCGATCACAACAAAGCCCACAATCGTGAGCAATGAGAGAGAGTGACACCTTGGAAGTTGCACGACATGCAATAAGCCGCGTCCCACTTCCAATTTCCTCTCCCGATCTTTCTCTCTCGCGATTTCAACGCTCGGTCACGGCTCCGTGCGATCTCGCATTGTAGCCGAGTTGTACAGAAGAGGCGAGTTTCTCGCACAGAGTTGCAGACCAAATTTGTAGGGCTCCGGGTGAAATCGGTGAGTATGAAACCTTATTTCATGCTATTTGAGATTTTCATTTTCTTTCTTTTGCTTCCATTTTAAGTTTTACCTCATTTTTTGTGCATTGTTTGTTTCCGGTAGCCGTTGATTATGTCAGAAGTGTTATGAGTGGAGTGCATGTATTCTTAGGGGTTTTAAAACAAAATTAGTGAAGGTGAAAGGACGATTGAGAAGATAGGAAGAAGCGGGAAGAATATTTGGCAGCTTCAGAAAGGCGGACTTGTGCCGAGAAGTTCATTGGAGGTAAGAACATTACTTTTTGGGTTTAATTACTTTATAGGCCGAAGATTTATAAAATCCTAAGATATTACATATTCCAGGTTGTTTACCTAAAGCGAAAAGTTCGAGTCAAGCGTGTAGCAGATCGTCATAGGGCAGCTCCTCAAATCCAGGTAAGTAATCTATATGCTAATTTAGGAAGAATAATTTGCTAGGTGAAAATTGGTTGAATCTTAATGTTCAATTTTGTTCTTTTAATTATATAAATCAATAGAAAAGTTATCCAACAACCAGCTAATTGCTTAAAATTGAGCATGACCATCGGGGTGAGTAATTGTGTTTCAAAATTTCTATAATCTTCTTTATTTCAAATTATATGTTTGATTCCATGAATGCCTTATTTTAATCAGATCCTTCATATTGTTGGATATGAAAAATATATGTGATAAGAATAATAGGAAATGATGTGTATGCATGGGATAAATGATATATTTTGATCGACATTATATGTAACATAGGCATGTAAGATAGATATGTAGGAAATATAAGCATGATATAAAAAGGATGCATGAGATAAGAGATGAACGATGCAAGAGATATACATGATCTGAGAGATATGCATGATGAATAGTTGCACAACAGAGTAAGTATGCATGTTAATAGATGTATGGAGATGTCTCAGAATAATATATGCTCTAAAGAATGAAATAGCTTATATGTGAATGCTTGTATGTGCATATTTAGACAAAGATTTCATTCTCTATTTGTGCAGGAGATTTCATTCTCTATTTGTGCAGGCAGGGGGTGTCAGTGTATCTGCGTTCGTAGAGTTTTTCCACCACCATAGTCAATTGTATGATTAGATCACTAATTGTTGTGCCGATGAGATAATATCGGTCAGGAGCGAGTAGACCAGAACTTACATTCCTAGAAAATTGTGATGTTTACATTGCTAACCGCTACGTTGAAAAAATAATATCGGCCGAAGGCAGGTAAGGGTCTTTCCACCCTAGATAATTACGATGTGTAAATCGCTAACTGCTGTGCCGACGAAAGTCGATGGGGCAATATCGGCTAAGGGTGTGTAAGATTTTGTTAACGGTAATTCTCACAGAGATAGACATGTATGCAAAGAGTATAAAATAAAAGTAAAGTTAAAATAAACACATATGAAAAATAAGTGTATGTTTATTTGGAAAAATATTCGTGATACATGCATTAACTAACATCATATTGCTTATAAAAATGTGAAACACTAGCATATTATATGATTTCTTATAAACTCGTATGCATATTAAATTTTTTTACCTTGGATTACTTTTGTTTAGAAGTGTCATTACTCCTTGGTTATCTTTAGATAACTCATGTTGTTTTAATATTTTTTTTTAGGTTTTAAACATTTGAACAAGATGAATAGAAGAACGAATTTGTATAGAAGACGAGAACAATAAAAATAAATGTACAAATTTTTTATTTATTAATTTTTAATTGTTTTCTTTTGTAGCTCTTTCATGTATGATTTGAATATTAAATTGTCAGTGTTAGAATTAGAATTAGGATAACCGTGATATGATTTCCATCGTCTGACCGTCCGTTTCCTTCTTGGTTTACTACATGCCCTGGCTCAGGTCGTGCCACACTGTCCTCAAGGCGGGGAATAAATGCTACTAAATAATGTCGTTTAATCAGAAAGTAATAGTGACCCTCATGAGTTTGAAATATAGTCTTGTGCACTTTCTTCGACCACATTCGAACTTGTTGGTACTCTGACTTCAATTCAATCTTGAAAAATACCGCAGCCCCAAACAACTCCTCCAGTAGCTCATCTAGTCATCCATCGTCGTAAGCTCTTCTAAGTTTGTATCACGCGTCTTTTATTGCTCTGCTACTTGATCCAGAATCCCAAACCTATGTTCCGATTTTCCCTTACAATGATCTTGAGCTTTATCAAAATCTTCCACAAACTGTGGTCACCCTCCTAGCATCCATAACTTGTCCACCTTCTGAATACTCTGTAGCGTCAAAATTGGTCCCTTACAAACATCTCTACTGTCTCGACCTATCCCGTTCCCCTCATTAGTCCTGAATTATCTTCTACCCAGAATGTTGCCACAACAAAAGACACTAGCACGGTTAAATGCAGCCTTTGCTGGTGTCCCAACCACCGTGGTTTCTTGTTCCTGATCAAAATCCTTCCAATTGGTCTTCCCAGTCTCAAATTGTACACCGTTTAGTTCTGCCTTCTACCGCTAGTTCTAAACCTTTAGATATTGTATAATTCCATCTAGATGTTGCCGCTCAAATTCGCTCCCAACTCCTTTGCTCGATCATGTTTACTTTCATTTGTTTTAGCCTTTTGAATACCACACTATTTCTTTCAAGTGTTGTTGCTCACATCCATACCTGAAACTGTTGTTTGATCCCGCAACAGGCAGTTTTGTGTGAAATTCAACGATCTTCTTCATTATTTCTTCTAGGGTTGTGAATTTTCCCTCCATAGACAAAAGCCGTCCCTCAATGGACGAGAAACACTCCTTCATTTCTGATATGATTTGGCTCATTTCTTGATGTACTTTCTCCTCCAAAGCCTCTATTTTTTCAACTGACATTACTCTTTAACGATTTTCGATCAGAGAAGTGGAATTGTTGTGAGCATCAATCCAATCATTGACTTCCTACCTAGCTTGAATTTTGACTATATCACGGATCCATTGTCTCCTCTATTTTACGTGATCCCGTCGTCACTTCCCGACTATCTCGTTTCACGATTGTATATGTATCTTACCACGATTATCGCAATCCCACACCCTGTACCGCATAACGATGCTTCTCTGCTAGCTCCAACCGCGACTGTAAGGGTTATATGAAATCCCGTAGTTAGCTTCCCTGTTGACTAGAATCTCGTTGTCTGCTTCCAGATTGGTCAGATCGAACTCTCTATACACCAAGTTCTTTTCTTGCTATTGTATTTTGTCGACTGTATCATGAGTTTCGATCTTAAAGGCGATGGAACTATGTACGCAGCAATTCAGTAGTTGATTTCTCAGAAATTGAACCAATTTGAAGGAGCTAAGAAGATTTTTCCATAGAAATTAAGGAAAACAAATATTTTTTTCTTCACTAATACAAAAGGACATGACACGAATATATAAAGATAAACACCTATAATTCGAGCGGCAGTTGATCTTTATCAATCCCACGCTCTAAGACTCAAGACCACAATCTCATGCATACCCCAACCCTAAACATAATAAGCTCTATTTATGCCATATAATAATAATTAATAAAAGACTAAATTGCCCTTAGGCGCTGGCGTAATATAACATTCATAGAAAATAATTATCATTATATTTCTATGTTGATATGTCGGCGTGCGATCACATTTGACATAATCATATGTGTTCGTTCATAGCTGACTTGTAAATCATCTATCATAATTCTTTTATAGTCTTACATAAGTCAATCTTTTTAAGACATTTTGTAACTTGGAAGATTTTATCAACCCATGAAAATCTAATGTTTCCCAAAAGATCCATCACGTCATGGAGCCGTCAACTTGAATAGCTAAATTCAAAAACGATTCTACCAGCTTATACATTACACGTTTTACATATATAATAAGCAAAGGTTTAACAGATCTATAATCAAAATTGCGAATGCTGATTTAATAATTAAATATTTTATATGGATCTATTATATTCGACTAACATGTTTGTTGTCTCTATTTTCATTATATTATTATAATTTTAAGAATATTAGTATTTATTAAGTGTTTGATAACTCTCAATGACTTTAATTTGACATATTCAGGTTTAAGTTTTGAAATAGAAAATAAACAGTATAAGTGATAGTGCTTATACAAGACACGACAAAGTTATAAAAATGTAATTTTATTAATGAATGTTTACTTTTGGGTTGAATTAAATTTCTTTTCATTGTTGTTTCTTTAAATGATTTGGATATTTGAATTATTATTTGTTAGTGATAGAAATGAAAGTAATTTTGAATTTCACCGTTAGACCATTTGTTCTTGATTTGGTAATTCTAATCCTCATGGTTTGGTCGTGACATCAGAGGCCCAATCAAATGTGCTCAATATTTGTAGCTTAGATATTGGGTTTCAACCAAATTTGTGATGGAATGATTCTTCAGAAATCCTCATAAAATTAATAAATAAAATGTGATCAGGAAAGCTTAGAGTGTAAAATATTTGAACTTGCTCCGTCTTGTTTGTTTTTTGTTACATGTTAACAGTCAAAGACCTAAAATGCAGCATTCTTCATTGCCATATTATCTTATATTGTTATTTTGTTGGAAAACCGTACTCTCATTTTTCTTGAAGAATCCAGTAGATTTCATAGTTTCACATTTTTTATCACAAAGATTTCAAGATATTTATATCAAATAAAAAGTCATTTTTCTTAGTTTTGAAGAGTAATGGTCCCTTTGTTTCTTCTATTATGTAAAGAACTAATCACTATTTTTTTTTAATTAACAGGCCATCTATTTGTTAGCAGCCAATACTTTTTGCGTTGAGCCATCAAGGTAATGCTTGCTATCCTCCATCGTCCGCCTAAGATTGGTGAACTAGGGAAATAATAGTTGTTTTTCATATTAAATTAATTAGATATTCCTACATATTAGCAATACCTAATACTTCTTTACTTTGTAGGTCATTTGCATGAGATTTGCGATCCAATTTTGATTTATTTTGTTGAATTTATCTTTGAAATGCTGAACTGCAAAGCCACCCTTTTATCTCTCTAATTTTGTTGAATTTTGTTAACTAATTCAAGTGCATGTTATTAAGTTTTTATTATAATAAAAATATCCAAAGTTCTTTATTTAGGTAATCTTGAATGGATGATTGTGAAATTAGGATGTTTTCGTAAACACGCCAATTTTTAACTTGAGAAAAAATAGTTCCTAAACCTTTGCATGCACCGTATGTTTCTAAAGATGTATGTTATCTCGATCATGGATGTTTCACAGTGGCATGTGCATAATTATGTATATACACAACGATTAACTTACATGTGCATATTTCATTTTTGGATAGTTTTTTTTTTAATTTAAGCATCACCCAAGGAATCAATTTCAATCAAGGTTCAACAATGAATGTTTGACGTTAAAATCATGTAAATCCCACATAAAAAATGGGAAAGAAACCATATACACAAAGTTCCAAAATTTAGAGCTAGACTGATTTTCTTATAAAGCGTGGATCTTTCACTGAAATTTCAGATGCGTTGTAGTGGAGGACAGCGCCATTGGTCTTGCAGCAGTAAAAGCCGCCGGCATGAAATGCATAATTACGAAGAGTGGGTAAGCACAAAGGATATGTTTTTAAGATTATTTTATCTGTATTGTGACATTTCTAACGCTGGATCAATTTTTATAAAACAATAATACATACCAACGTAAATGTGGAATTTGAAATATTTTTTTTGGACTGAATTTCAAGTATAATCGTTTAAAAATTATCTTCTAACTGAAAAATGCATGAATTATGAATTTTCTGATGAAGTTTCATTTATGTTCTTATTTTGCAATTTTTAAGGGGTTACGTTCTAGCCATGTTATTTTTGTTACATTCCAGGTTATTCCTAACTTTCCACAATAATTCTGTCCGCACATTTTAGCGATGTTTGTTTTTACTTTCGTTACACATCAAAAGAGAGAAAGGTCAAAATAGTCCTTTATATATGGGGGATCTATTTTAGTCCCTGGTTATCTAATGTCTCTAATTTAAACTTTGACTCCTTAAATCTTATCCAAAATATTCTCTTGATTACTCAAATCTGATCCACATTTGATGAGTTGAAGTAATTAAATTGAGCACATTAAACAGTTCGTGCTAAAATGATTCCATGCAAATATTTATGGACTGTTTTGACCTTTTTTTAATTTTTGTATTAAAATCACTTTAGTCTATTTTTGAATATTTTCTTAATTGTCGTCACTCTCAAAATCTCTTTGATTTGAATGTTTTCTCTGATTGAAAGTGACTCCTATTCTCATTTATCACTCAAAATTCAATCGCGGAGTCACTAATTTTTAAAACATTATTTAATTTTAATAAAAGGCATCAAAATTTATAAAAGCTGATACAATTATGAGCCACTCTGCCAAGAAAGCCATCAGCTTTTATTATTGTTGCTTGAAATATAAACCGAGTTGGACTCAATATGCTAGCGTAAAGTCTATCTTCTACCCTACAGAATAGGATAATATTACATGCGGAGTCCTGACGTAGAGTTACGTCTCAACTCCAATCCGAATTAGACATGTGGCCGAAACATATTTTATGACAAATAATTAGGAATACATCGCCGAAACCGAAGAAGAGGAAGAAGAAAGCAGTCGAGAAGATGATAAACTTCCAGAGTGCCAACATGAATGAAACGTAGAGTTGAACCATCGGAAGTTTTACAACATACTTCATTATTATACTTAATTTATAAGGTGCTTAGTTTTATGTTTGGAAATTTAAGGTTTAGGTTACTAAACAATTTTCAGTGATGATTTTAAATGACGATCTTTAGGTTATATGCGTACTTTGTTATCTACAAAAATGTTTTACACATGCTTTTCTTGGGTATAACGTGGTTGTACTCCACATTTTCATCATTGCATGTTAGAGAATTGGTTAATTGGCTCTCAAGAATATTTCACCGATGAGTTGGAATGTTCTATAGGCTTTATGTAGACTTTATTGACTACAATTATGCTGTACTCATGATTTTCTCTAGTACAGCATGACAACATGATTGCAATCGATGTTTTCAATTGTTACATGATAGGGAATTTGTTAATTGTGACCCAGAAGTTTTTAGTGATAATTTTGATTGATGTTTTATATGACTTTGTTGGCTACAACCATGTTATACTACTGATTTTATTGGGTACAACATGATTATAATTCATACTTTCAATCATCGCATGCTAGAGAAGTAGTTAATTATGACTCAGAAGCATTGAATGATGATTTTGATTGATGTTCTTTAGGTTTATGTAGATTTTATTGACTAGAATTATGTTGTCTTCCTGAATTTTTTTAGTCATGATTACAATTCATTTTCTAAATCATTGCATGCTGGGAAATTGATTAATTTTTTACTCATAAGCTATCAGCGATAAATTTGAATGGTGTTCTTTAGGTTGTGTAGATTTTGTTGACTACGATAATGTTGCACTTTTGATTTTCTTGAGTACAACATGGTTGCAATCCATGTTTTCAATCATTACATATTAGAGAATTGATTAATTGTGACTGAGAAGCTTTCAGTGATAATTTTGAATGATATTATTTCGATTTTACGTGCACTTTGTAGACTAAAATCATGTACCATTGATTTTCTTGAAATCAATATTATTGTATCCAATATTTTCAGTCATTGCATGCTAGAGAATTGGTTAATTATGACTCAAATTTTATGTGCACTTTGTTAGTACAATCATGTTTTAGTCTTGCTTATCTTGAGGGCAACATGGTTGTACCACATTTTTTCATTTATTGCATGCTAGGTAAATGATTAATTATGAATCAAAAGTTTTCAATGATGATTTTGAACTCTTTAAGTTTTTCTGCACTTTCTTGACTACAATAATGTTTTTCTCTTGCTTTTCTTGACGATGATATGCTTGTACTCAATATTTTCATTCATTGCATACTAGAAAAATGGTTAATTATGATTCCATAGATTTCATTGATTTTGAATGGTGATTTTTAGGTTTTTTGTTTACTTTATTGCTTACAAGTCCATTTACTCTTGCTTTTCTAGAGGAAAACATGATTGTACTCAATGTTTCTTTCATTCCATGCTAGGGAAATGGTTTTTTTTTTTACTCAGATGCTTTCGATGATGATTTTGAATGTCGATCTTTAAGTTTTTTTTGTAGTTCTTTAGTGTTTATCTTGATTAAATGACATCATGTGTAACAAACATATGATTATTCTCAACCATTAGAGCGACTTAATTTGCGGTGAACCTCGGCCTATATCCACCAAAATAGATTACATGCTTCTTAACGACCTACCATTCTAGAAGATGAATTACAAGTGATGCTGAGGCGACATTTAAAATCTTTATCTTATTTATTTTGTCTTCATGTATCTATAAACTTCTCTAATCCCAAAAATTAATTAGTGATAGAACTTGTAGCTTTTAGAGATACCTGATCATAAATTATTTGTAAAATCAATGTGTTATGTTGATAAAATTCACATGCAGAAAGTATTTTTATTGAATGTTGTCAATCGCTTAATTTTAATCTTAGAAAATTCATTTAACCAAGCATGATTGTGTAGATTTTCTTTTTCTATCATCTTACACCATATTTGCACAAACTCACTTCTAAATCATATTTATTAATACATGTGTAAAATTATATCTATATTGTTTTATTACTATTGAACTAATGCACTTTTGAATGAGCCTTCTTAGAGATATGTCATCGGTATAATTTATGTCGATGATGAGGCAATGCAATATCTATAGCTTTCGTCGTTTTTTGATCTTAATAAGAGAATATTATTATCCGATGTTTATGATCCATTTTGTGAATGAATATTTTGAACATCAATGTGATGACTTTTCTCTTCTTTTAAAAAAACTTCTTTAAATAAAATATTTTGTTAATAATGATTAACTCTAACAAATGATGCACAAACTAAATTATACTTATTAAGTTGTTAACTTGACTTTTCTGAAGCCATCATAGTCAATCATTGTCATGCCATCACCAAAAAAAATAATCAATTCATTTGACTCATTAACTTAGACATCTTAGTAAACATATTATCTTCAGCTTGTCTTCATTGAATATTTGCGTTAGAACATTGGTGGTCCCTTCTCAATTCTTATTCTATTCTTTTTTTTTTTTTTTGGATATAATTAAATGCATCTCTTTTTTAAAATTTGACATTATATATTCCTCTTACTTTCGCAAAAAAAATATTGAATACATCAGTCGCTCTAATTTCTGCTTGTGTCATCAATTGCAACACATCTACTTTGGCTTCACTGATGCTCTAATGCGATATCACAAGATGATCACATGACTCTGCTAATGAATGATTATGATTTTCTATAAATTTATTAACCTTCCAATTACCAGCAGAATCAACGATAAATCTAATCATTGCTGGACAAGCAATCCTAGTGTCTGATTTTTGAAACTTTACTGTTCTATTTAGATTTAGTCCCATCTTAAAACTAGAATTTTAGCATATAACTATTCTTTTGACTTTATATTATTTGTGTTTGGCCAGTAGCGGACACGATTCTTTTGAACAATAAATCCTATCTGATGTGCATGATTATAGTACAAATCATCTCTTCATTTCAAACAATGATACAAAAAAGTTTTTACGCGGTTGGCTCTTGATTTGCATGTTCTGGCACTAAGGTCTGAATAATCTTATATTTCTTACGCATTATGCGTCATGCATTCAAGATAAATATTTAAACAATACATAAAAAACCTATACACACCATTCAAAATCATCATTGAAATCTTTCAAGTCAAAATTAAGAATTTCCTTAGCATCCGATAATGAAAATTTGGAGTACAACCATGTCCTTCAAAAAGATACGAGAAAAATATGATTGTAGTTGAGGCATAATTAACCAATTTATTAACATGCAATGAATGAAAACATTGGGTACAGTAATTTTGTTTTTAAGAAAAGCTAGAGCACAACATGCTCTACAAATTGCACATAAAACCTAAATTTTACCATTCCAAATTATCACCAAAAGCTTTTGAGTCACAATTAATCAATTTTCTAGCATATAATGATTGAAAATATGGATTATAAACATATTGTACTCTAAAAAATTAGGAGTACAACATGATTGTTGCTAGCAAAGTTTGCATAAAACTTAAAGAACATCATTTAAATTATCACTCAAAGCCTCTGAGTCATAATTAACCAAGTATCTAGCATACAATGATTGAAAATATGAATTATAATCATGTTGGACTCAATAAAATCAAGAGTATAACATGATTCAAGTGAACAAAGTCTACATAGACCTAAAGAACACCATCGAAAACAATAAGCCTTTATTCCATTAAGTGGGGTGCATGAAGCCTTTTTCTCCATTGTGTCCTATTGAGTGTCATATTTTCATTTAATTTTAATAAATTAAGATAATTTTTAATTCAATATATTTTTAAGTCTACTTCTGCCTTTATTAATATAAGTCAAATTTAAAACAGCTACTTTCCTAAGCAGATCATCATATGATCTATGTTTAATGTGATCGAACTGTATAAAACGACTCTCTTTAATATTGTCTGCCACTAAAGCTACACTAACCCTTTCACGAATACATTCGTTTCACACTTTTTCTCTAAGTTTCACATCACTCATCCACCTAAGCATTCTCGTCTTAGCATCACTTAATTTAGTTTTATGTTTTTCTTTTAAAGACCAACATTCTATGTCATAAAACATTACATATCTCATCACCATCTTATAAAATTTTCCTTTTAAGTCTTAGCAGTATTTTTCTATCAAACATTATGTTGGATACATTCCTCCACTTCAAAAAACCAACTTGAAATCTGCTAATGACATCCTCATCTATATCACTATCACTTTGAACAATAGACCTGAGATATCTAAAATGTTCACACCTTTTAATGATTTGACGCCCCATAGTTACAACTTTGTCACTTGATCTAGCACTACTAAAATTTCATTCAATGCATTCAATTTTAGATATACTCAAACAAAGGCTTTAGACTCTAATGTAGACCTCCATAATTGAAGTTTATTCTAAACTCTTTTTCTAGTCTTATCTACTAGAAGGATATCATCACCAAAAAATATACACCAAGGTACATCCTCCTATAAATGTCCAGTAAGAGCATCCTTAACGAAAGCGAAAAGATATGGTCTTAAAGTTGATTCCTGATGTAATTTAATTGAAATAAGAAAATACTTGGTCAATCCTCCTATTGGTACACAAGTAATAGCTTTAGTATACATATCTTTAATGACTTGAACATAAGTCATATCAACACCTTTTTTTTCTAGAACTCTCCAAAAAACTTCTCTTTGAACCTTATCATAAACTTTTTCTAAATCAATAAAAATCATATGTAGATCCTCCTTACTCTCTTTGTGGTCCTCCATCAAACCTTTAGATAAATGTATAGCTTTCATGGTATACTAGCCCAACATTAATTCAAACTGATTATGAGAAATCTTTGTTTCACGTCTTAACCTATCATTTCCTTGCTCCCATACTTTTAATGTATGACACATTATCTTAATTCTTCTATAATTTGCACACTCTTATGCACTTAATTCCTCTATAATTTGTGTGTTTGTGCATCCCCTTTATTCCTAAAAATGGGGACCAAAATAGCTATGACACATTATCTTAATTCTTCTATAATTTGCACACTCTTATGCACTTAATTCCTCTATAATTTGTGTGTTTGTGCATCCCCTTTATTCCTAAAAATGGGGACCAAAATAGCCTTTCTCCACTCCGCAGACATCTTTTTAGCTTTTAAAATAACATTAATGAGTTTAGTAAACCAAATAAACTCTTAAATCTCCTAAATATTTTCACACTTCAATTATGATGTCATCTGATCCTACTAATTTTCCACCATTAGTTTTCCTTAAGGCCTCATCAACTTTCTTTTTATTAATGCCACGATAAAAATATAAAGTTTGATTATTATTAATGATATTAAGATCACTGAGGTTAGTTATTTTTCAAAAATTTTATTGAAATTCCTTAGCACAATTTATCAATTTTTGCACATGCAATGTTTGAAAACATGGATTGCAATCATGTTGTATTTGAGAAAATCAGGAGTATAACATAGTTGTAGTCAACAAAGTTTACATTGATTTTATAAAACACCCTTTCAAATCATCGCTGAAATAGTCCTAATTAACCAATTCTCTAGCATGAAATGAATGAAAGTGTGGAATACGACCATGTTGTACTTGAGAAAAGCAGGCGTACATCTTTGTAGACAACAAAGTGCACATATAACCTAAAGAATACCATTTAAAATCATCACTGAAAACTTTCGAATCACATTAAGCTTAAATTTACAAACATTATACTAAGCATCTTATAAAGTAATTATCACAATGAATTGTGTTATAAAGCTATCGATGATTTAAACTCAACGTTTTCATTCACATTAGCACTCGGTTTGTTCTTCATCGTCATGACTGCATTATTCTTCCTCTTTGATTTTGGTGGCATGTTCCTGAGTCTTTGCCATAAAATATGTTTCAACCACATGTTTGATTCAGAATGGAGTCAGGACAGAGAGAAAATTTTGAGTTGCGTTCGTAAGACGTACGCAGCGCTGCGTACGTCAGGGAGGTTATTCAGAGGGTATCGGGGGGTTATATCCGCGTTATACCCCCTTAACATCCATGTAAGTTACTTGTAACCTACAAATATATGCAAACAAAAGCATGAAACTCACTAGAAGATACATGTAGGTTACATGGAGGTAACAGGGGGTATAACGCGGATATAACCCCCCAATACCCTCTGAATAACCTCCTTGACGTACGCAGTGCTACGTACGTCTTACGTATGCAAATTTTTCTCCTGTGCATAACTCTACGTCTAGACTCCATACATAATATTTCTACACTAGTTATTTTTTCTTCATTATCTTTTCCCAGGAAAGTTTAAACGCATATCACACATTTCTTACACATTTACATATTTAATACCTAAAGTTTAATATTTATATTTAGAACACTTCGGTGGTATAAACTTATTCATGAAAATACGTATTTTATTTTTAAAATGTTAATAATAGTCATATTTTGATGTGACCTTAAAGATTCGGGTGGTGTGCATGTAAATATGAAAGTTTAGATATTAGATATGTAAATACATAAGATTATGTGGTGTGTATGTAAATGCACCCTTTTTTTTTTATTTAGTTGGTTTAAAGTCAATGCCCTCACACTCTTAACAATTGATTTATTTATTTATTTATTTTGTGAAAATGATGCAAATTAGTTAATGTTTAGGTATACGGCCGAAGAGGACTTCGCAGACGCTGATGCAATTTTTGATTGCATTGGAGACCCTCCCGAGCAGCATTTCGACCTTGCTTTTTGCACTAACCTTCTCAATAAGCAGTATGTCAGCTAATTGAATGATGATAGAATACTACATTGATGAATAGAATAAAATCGATTTTAAGGTTTTAAGTTTGTCTATTGTAAAGTTTTGTTTGCTATAAAAATCATTTTAGGAGCTATTCTATGTAAGCTTATGAAATTATACAGGTGTTAATGCAAAATTGTGATTTCATTAGATTGTTTTTAATATATATATATTTAATTGTTGAGAACTCACTAAAAATAGTTATGCTGAGATAAATATATATGCTTCAGCGAAATCGGACATTTATGTATTATATTAACTCTGTTTTTGATATAAATTAATTTAAATGATGTTTTGAAATTTTAAAATAAATAGGTAAAATAATATTAGAATAAACATGATTTTTTGTTTTTTTATTTTTATTTATTAATGATAAAATAAAACTGATTTATTTAGGCGAATAAAGGCGTTTCCTTTCGAGAGGGTATGTTATGTTGTTTTTCATAAGCATAACCATCATCCTATTGTTTTCACAGATGTAGATCTTCCATCGAAAGGAAATAGGTATAATGACGAGAATGTTATTACTGCATCAATCAATAACTATAAGGTGGGACTGGAAGTTCAGTGAAAATTTTTTTCAAAATGGTGTTCGACAAAATTGGGCACAAAATTGGCCAGTTGACAACATTGGCTGGTTTATTGTTTGGTTTCTTTGGTGAGAGAAAGGAGACTTTGAGTGTTATTACTTTGTTCATCTCGTGGGGTGAGCAATAGAAGTAGTTCACCAACACAATAGACTTCGTAGGGGTGTGGGAGTGCTATACTACCCTCTAACATTGGGTAAAGAGTTGCCCCAACCTCAGAGATTGCTAGTGGTTTTAAGCCCCAAAAAAGTTACTGATTTATTAACTGCCTCCAAAAAAATAAACATCCTCTTTTGTCGTATGAAAAAAATTATATTTTGCTTGATAAAATGAAATTTCTAAATTATCTTTATTGACTAAAAAAAAATTAAGAATTTTGAGTCTTACTCGTGATGGCCTTATGTCATTCATATAGATCGGGCTAAGGATTACCCTCTCATGATTGCCTTGTTGGCAACTTTTTACTCTGTGTTGGGTCTCTCATATATGATATCGACTGTTGCATACTGATGTCCCTCAAGAATTATTAGGGCCGCAGGTCCTAATTCAGAGCTCCCCCTTTACTAAAACTTTTATGCCCACGCCTCGATCTTCCTTATTTGTGCCACTTGACTTTTACACATGTGCTAATATCTTCTATTTTTTTTATTTGTTATCATTTACTAAAACTTATAGACCGATAGAACGGTGAGGAAGCAAGCAGATGAAGGATAGCTTCATGCAACATAACAAGACAAAACATGAAGTAGATCTGCTCCAGCTAAACCTTCCTTAGTCTTAAACAACATAACTCATAGGACTTCAAGGTTGTTCGTCTAGCGCAACGTAAATCCTCACTCTATCTTTTAGGCTCTTGCAAGACCATGTTGTGTAATATAAACCCTAAATATTTTTAGGATTTCAAGGTCATCGCTCGGTACAACATAAATCATCATATCTTTCTAAGCTATTTACAAGATCATATATTGTACAAATGTAAACCCTAATTTTAAATAATTGTCTGGAGTAAACATTAAATAATATCACTTCCAAAATTTAAAGGCAAATAATAAAATAGTTTGGCAAGTCATCGAGGTTCTCCTCAGGATTCGTGGCATCCCCCACTCTTCCCTCCTTTGTACTCTTAAATCTCTTATTTGGTTCAGACAAAACCATTTTGAAGTCTTGAAGACAAAACCATTTATTTTAATCAAGAGTTTTCTTAAGTGGCTTTGGTCATTTGAAATGTAATTAATTATAGGAGATTCCCTCTATAGAGAACTAAGAACCCATGTAAAAAAAAACTCTTGCAACTACATGTAACCTCACAAGTAACTTTGTCAGCTAACACATTCCAGGGCTCCTTTATCTCATCATCATCGTCCTCAGGATTCGTGGCATCCCCCACTCTTCCCTCCTTTGTACTCTTAAATCTCTTATTTGGTTCAGACAAAACCATTTTGAAGTCTTGAAGACAAAACCATTTATTTTAATCAAGAGTTTTCTTAAGTGGCTTTGGTCATTTGAAATGTAATTAATTATAGGAGATTCCCTCTATAGAGAACTAAGAACCCATGTAAAAAAAAACTCATCTAATCTTTATATTAGGTAGGAGAACTTGTCGGTCACACATAAAATGTTCGCAAACCGAAATAAAGTCATAAATTTTTTTATTTAAATGATAGAGCCTATTATCAAGTTGCGTGCTTATATTTCAAGATAGTGTATCACTTGAGTATTGTGCTTAATTATCCAAACTATCAGATAAATGAGATCTATTTGGTTTTTTATTTCAAAAATAACATGTTATTTTCAAAATCAAAATTACACATATATATTCAATTAAATTTAAACTATTTCAAGCACGACTGACCAAATTCTGACCGATAATATACAACAAAATGACAGCAGAATCTCAAAGGATCAAGTGACTATAATGGAGTTTCGGGGGAATGAAGTCTTGTGTCAAAGAGAGATATCTTTTGGACAAGCGATCGACCGACATACAACAAAATCAACGGACCGACTATCTACTTAGTGACAAGTGACAGAAGCAAGCTGATGTATGTGGTCAGTCGACATTGTCGATTGAAATTGAAGATTTTGATGATCGATGGGCATTATATTTCCTTTGTATTATAATGCAATTTTCACTCAAAAAACACGTCGATTCAGTTATTTGGGCAATTATTATAATTATTCCCTCTTTTTTGTAAGCGTGTTTTTTAGACCTATAGAAGTAGGAGGTCATGACATAAATGAAAGGAATTTTCACACACACACACTCTCTCTCTCTCTCTCTCGACTCTTACTCTCTTATCTCCTCTCAGCTATAACTCTTAGGGCATGTATTCCGATAAATAAGTTAGGATTCAACAATAACAAACTTCATTATTTAAAAAAAAAATGCATAACAAGGAGCAAAAAGGCTCTAAGGGTCTGTTTGGGATAGATGCAGCTTAATAATAAGTTGTTAAATAGTTGTTGCCACAAGAAGCTGCCGCGCAGAAGTTGTTGTGGATAAGTTGGTTGTTCATTTACTTTTTACAATTTGAAAATAACTATGTTGCAGCTGTTTTGAGACAAATGACTATTATGCCCCTATATAGCATTGTTGTTTGCAAAAGAACTATTCATACTAGTACATTCAATACTTTATAAGCAATACTCAATGCAAAACATTACAAAATAAACATAGACACCTAACTAATATGGCTACTAAATTTAAGAAAAAGAGTACTAAAACAACAATTAATGATATGATAATATTATTTTAAAATGTAGACAACATATGCCACGAGCTAAGTCATCCTCCAACGATACTCTCTATGCCTGATCACACTCGGTGGTGAAATCTGCCATAAAAAATAGTAACAATTTTTCGTGATTCTCCGTGGGCACCTATAAAACTGTCTCCCGTAGTTATGTGGCTGACATGAAATTAGCAAGGAACTTTGAATTCCAAAGTAACAGTGCAATCCTCTAGAGGTACTAGAAATACTTGAGCTTGTCTTTCCTTAATGCTTAAAAAATATACCCTTAGATATAACACAAGTAAAAATTGATAATATAAGTAATTGAGTATAGCTTTATGAAGCACAAATCTGTCATTACAAGAAAACAACAGACCTTATAAAAAATGTTATTGATTGTCTTTAATTAATGTAATACCAAGCTCGTGTGTGTCACATATGTATATCACAATAAAAAATCCATTCAAAATAACCTAAAAAATCATAGCACCAAAAAAAAGAGAGAAACTTGGTTACCTTCATTACAATTTCACATGAAACATGAACCAATACCAACATACAGGACATCCAAAAGAACCCATAAAGTCAAATGTTTCATCATAGACCTTCAAACCACACCGAAAGAAAAAAAATGCAAAAGGAAAAAAAACGAATGCACAAATGGCTTCAAAAACCAAAATAATAAATATCAATTGCATAAGGGACATAAATAAACATGAAACATATAAAATACTGATATAATAAATAGTGAATGTCTTCAACAATCATTTCAATTAATAATATGGTAAAAACTGACATCCCCTCCAATCACCCTCCAACTGTCGCATCTGTAATTCGTTCTCTCAACTATGTCATCTCGTATGCACCTTCCCCTTCTTTAGTGCAGACTTCGGGAATATTATTTTTGGTCCATGACAAAGTCTCTCCAAGATTGTACTCAAATGTCTCAGCAGGGACATGTTTATGATCCTCGTTGCTCAACAGAAGTCAAAGTCGATGTCGTTGCGGAAAAGATGTCGTTGAATATAACTATGGAGAGTCATCGTGGCGATCACAATCTGCAATTGTTTGGAAAACAGGTAAAATGACATGTCACAATGTATAACCCATTTTTTCTTCCAAACACCAAAAGTCCTCAATAACACCACGTAAGGATAAATGACGTTTGTTGAACTTTTCTTTCCTGCCCGCACGACATTGCTGACTTGCTCAAAATCAAGTATATTGGATCTTGTATCAAAATAGAGCTTGAGATAACCTTGTTATAATGGATACCCAACATAAACTAAATAGTATTTACCTTATGTGAATTGAATTCATAATATTGAAGGAAAAAAAAGAATTAGGAGAGTTATATAGTTGCAAACAAATTTGTAGGTGGATGTGGGAAATTATATTTGTTATTTCGTGTTGTAGATTTGAATATTTGACTATCAAGCGCATTGTACTCCCAACCGGCCATGATATTCTATGTTGGAGACCCACAATGACCGAAGAATGCAATCTTCTCATTATTTGGAACATGTGCATCAACGTGTGTTCCATCAATTTCTCCAATAAAATTCTAAAAAGATAATGAAGGGTTACTTACAATGTTATATAAAATATGAATGCAAAAAATAAGAGAAGTTGCCTTAAAGAATTACATATAACATGCATTGTGTGATATCTCTATGGTGGTTCGTCCGAATGTAGGACTTATTGGCTTTATGACTTGTGAAAAAAGTGACAAGTGTATATGCAAATCATTTTAGAAGAGTGTTGAAATCATTTCATAGCCCCTCAAATTGATTCATTATGCAATAATATGTAGAGGGTTATTGCTAACACCTCTTGTGAAGTTATTCTGAATGAGTCATGAAGTTCATGATTTATGTGTAGTTCCTCCAAGAGATCGGTGAATACCGCTTGTAATGTGAAACATATTGCTAAATCTTGTTGGGTGGCACGCAAACAACTCCCCAACCCATTTTTGCCAACATATGAGGATTTCATTCAAAGGGAGCACTCTATTTATGAGTTATAATATTCGTACATCAAGCACACTACAACTGCAACTCTCCTTCTGCGTTTTTCTCTAATTACATCCATGTAAGTCGATATTGAATTGGCTAACACATAAGCATCAATGAATTAACTAAAATCATATAAGGTTACGAACAAAACCAACATAAGCAAATAACTTTACAAGAGTAAACAAAAAATATAACGATGAATGAAAAACTCTCAAGTAAAGTGGAACGCCCAAAGCAGCATAATTATTCAAAGCATAATGAAAAACTATAAACAAATAAAATTGCCCCATAAGAATCTAATAAAAAACAGTGTTCCTCAAATGTCACTCCTCCCATGGAAATAACATAGGTAAGCCATCCTACAGTCAGTGGGCATCGTTATAAAAAACTCTCTCTAAGTCGAATCTTCAACTAACTTTATAGGGAACAAATACAACGGCATGTCCTCATAAATTTAGGGAATTGCATCCAGAATTCGCATAACTTGCTAGGCGTAAGCTACTTGTGATGGTCAGGGTCATTAGTGCATGAAGCCACTGAATGTGAGATTTGGCTTTAAGGAAAGCGGCTCCCTCTTTTTCTTCCAGCCCAGGGACAATTTGACTGGCTCGTGGACTCAATTTCTTGGAGATCCGGGTTGTTGTCTTCATTGGAATCACCTATTTGATCAGCTCTAATTTTTTTGGAATGTAACCAAACTTTGCCTCAATGGGGGCACATGCATTGTTGCTCTTTACTACGACACCTCCAAACATATGATGCTACTTCTCTACTAGCTCACGTTCAATTCCACTGTATTTAATTTTTTTTTGCAACAGACGCCACCTACAAATTCATATAACATGTTATTGAACTTGAAAATACATTAAAATTTGACAAAAGTAGGGAACATTTCAAAAATACTCATCGTCAGTCTCTCTGCCTACCACTCCTCGGAAGCATCAATCGTTCATTTTATCGTATCCCAACCGAAATCTGTTGATCCTCGCTTCAATTCCTTCCTGATTTTTCAATCTTTCTTCATCTAAAACCACTTATTTTTTAATTGCACTCTATTGTACTCTCTGCTTGTATTTCCCTTGAATTTTCTAATAACATTTTACCAGTTTTTCTTATTGAAAATGTTGTTGGCTAATTTCCTAGTTCGAAGGCAAAGGTTGCAAAATATTAATTTGGTCTCTTTATCCCACATTGTAGATGAACCAACCCCTTTTATTTAATCATTGTATTACTAGCATGAAAAAAAAAAACTAATTAACATAAATAGAAATGCCTCAATATTGCAACTCAAAGAAAAATAGGAATGTCATAATATCATCAACAATGCCCCTCCACACTACACTACAACTCCACCTACACATCACCACTTCCACCACCTCCACACACAAATACATTCACACACCAACACATCCACAACACAATCATCACTACCTCCACACACCAACAACTCAACACAAACCAATCACACACCAATCACCACCTCCACAACAACATCACCTCTACACATCCACCAACACATCCTTGAAAACAGACACAACCACACACCAACCATTACCACCACACACAAACCAACGTACACCACCACCAAATATCAAAGGTAAAGATAGAATGCCACCCGATATTTTTCATTTGAGGATACTACATACATGGCACCCAAAACATTGCTAACTACAAATCAAGCACCCTCTTTTAATCATTTCTCAAATTCTCACTCAAACATCAAAGGTAAAGATAAAACCCCATTCCATATTTTTCATTTGATAATACTACATTCAAGGCACCTGAAACATTGATATCAACAAATCAAACATCATCTTTCAGTCATTTCTCAAATTCTCACCCAAACATCAAGGGTAAAGTTAAAACCCCATCCCATATTTTTCATTTTTAACAAATTTACAATGGTTTGATTGTGGAAAACATAAATGCATCAGTTTTGAGTGCCTTGTATGTAATTTACTCAAAATATTGCTATCTACAAATCAATTATGCTCTTTCATCCATTTTTCAAACTCTCACTCAAACATCGAAGGTATGATAAAACCTCATCTCATATTTTTCATTTTAACAAATTCACAATGGTTTGTTTTGTGGCCAGTGTAAATGCATTGGTTTTGTGTGAGCTATATGTAATTTACCCAAAAGATTGCATATCTACAATCAATCAAACTCTTTCATCCATTTTTCAAACTCTCACCCAAACATCGAAGGTAATGATAAAATCCTATCCCATATTTTTCTTTTTTAACAAATTCACAACGGTCTAATTATGGCAAGCATAAATGCATCAATTTTGAGTGTCTTGTGGGTAATTTACCCAAAATATTGCTATCTACAAATCAAGCACGCTCTTTCATCCAATTTTCAAATTCCTACTCAAACATCCAAGGTATTGATAAAACCCCATATCATATTTTTCATTTGAAGCAAGTACAAACGGGATACCCGAAACATTGCTATTAACAAATAAAGCACCCTATTTTAGTCATTTCTCAAATTCTCGCTCAAACATCAAAGTTAAAACCTCATTTCATACCACATTCAGCAGAAAATTCGCAAAAACCAAATTCCAAATCATAAAGAGAAAACCACAAATTACAAAATCCAAATTCTCACTACTACAAATTAGAAAGCCAAAAATAGCAAAATTTAAATTCTCACCTCAAATAAAAAATGAGAAATCTACAAATGACAAAGAGAGTCATTCTGAAAAAAGAAATATCCATTCTCTCCCTCTCTCCCTCTCTCCCTCTCTCCCACACATACACACACAATTTAGATTAGCTGCGTCTTCATCCTCCCTCCTCCTGCAAATTTTCGGCCTCTAAATTCGCAAAACTATTATAAAATTTACATCGTTTCCAAGTTGCTCGCCAAGAGGATCAAAATGGCGCTTGCTTCCACGGTAGCGACAACTCAAAAGGTACAGCAAAACCCTAAATAATTAAACTAGATTTTGCTTCGTTTTCTCAATCAGATTCTTCAGGAATCCCTTAATGAACATATAATTGTTGGGTTTTTTTTTTTTTTGAATCGCGCCGCAGATGCGATCCCTTCCTCAGGCTTGTTGCAGGAAAAAGGAGAGAGATCGAGATCACCATAACTACCCTTTCAGGGTTGTCGAGATCACGCCACCACCTAGAAACCTCGGTGTCCGACGCTTGCCCTCGGTACAAATTGCAGGATCTCTTCTCTGTCTCGCTTCCTTCTTAATCTAACAAGCTTAATAGTTTGATTTGGCTTGGAATCAATGGGGAAGCAGGTAGGCTTGTGCGTTAAAAAACCATTTTTTGAAGATGGATTTCGGGTTATAAGATTTACTATACAAATCCTTAGATGTTGAGTTTAATATGTTTTAAATCTTACCTAACCATGTTGGATATTTCAACTAAGCATTGGTCTCTCCTTTATAGGAGAATTTACTCAAGAAAATATTCAGAAAATTTAGTTAAACTGTAATTTTCTATCAACCCGAAGATGGTTTATACTTTTTGTTTAAGACTCAAAAATTGCATTCATGTCAAGAAAAAAATGTAATAATAGTTTTATTGGTGTGGTTAGTTGGTCTCTATGTCAAAAATGTGCTTCTAAGTTTGCTGTAGAGGTGAGAGTTTTTATTTTCTTGCCAGACCCAAGTAAGCACCAAGATGAACAGAGGCTTTGATCAGTTTCCCAACTTGAAACAATTTTTTTAGATATTTAATCAACAATTTGCAGCGGTCTGATGAACTTTGAAGAACATGAACATTGATCCTTTTTTTTATTCTATGATTTCTTCTTTAAATGAGAGAACTCTCTTAAAAGAAGAGGACTTCCAAGCACTAGTACTCAGAATACCAACTAACAGCGGATCTATTGTTACTCTAAGATGAGTTGTTATTGAGAGTTCTCACATATCTATTGTGAATGTGAAATGTATCTTCCCTTCCTTTATTCTGAGTCAGGTTAGGAGAAATATTGGATTTGGGGGGAGGGTTCCATTGGAAGTTGCCTTATGACACGAGCTCATCAGTCACGAACGAGCCTTGTCTATGAACCCAAGGTCCCTCATATTGCTTGCTTATAGCAAAGCTTGGCACACTAGAATGAACATAGGCATTCTGGTATGGTAGGAAGACTCATTGAAAGGCCGACCACCACTACGGAGTGATAGCAAAGCCAAGCCATAAAGCTTGCAATCCTTATAGCAAAAGACCAACTTAGGAAGAAACTCTGTGGAAGTAGTTTTACAGGTGCGAAGCATTTGATTTTATGCCATAAGATAAACTGGGTCTTGACAACCCTATATCGATTGACAAGAGCTCACTACTGACCAAATGGCAATGAGTTTACTTCTTTCACTTGCCCTCTTTTCTTTTCAACCAAGTCTCGCTTTCCCACACCTGCTGACTGATCGCTTAGAACAGCTATACAGCTATCCGTTCTAATTTCCATCTTTCTCTTGTGGATCTGATGATAGGCTTGCTGATAATTTGTGAGATTTGGAAGGAGGCATTCCCTTATTTGTAGCAATTATAGTCCTAAATTGGCTTAGACGTGAAAGCATTTAACTTGCATCCTGTAGAAATGGATTATTATACTTTTACTTTTTGTTTGGCATGATGATGAATGTATGATTCATTCATGGTGCATGCCTACATCATCCCAACATCCTGTTCTTCTTGAAAGAAAAATGTAGGGTCAGAGAAAAATGTTAGAAGAACATGTAGTAAGAGAAATTTACATTTGTTCACAAAAAATCATGAAGCTCGCAAAATATAAGGAAGTCTATCATCAGATCCACGAGAGAAAGATGGAAATTAGAACTAGTGTAATGAAACTCTAATGCATGAAATTTGTCATCATCATTATCTTCAACCTATTACTTTATGGTTTAAACCTAGATAATTCAGTTATCGTTTAATAATATTAAATAATAAATATTAAATTATATATATATATATATATTGTTGTGAAATCTTGCCCCGTCAAGAATCCTTTCGTCGAGTTCCAAGAACACCTGAAAGAAAACCTTCCAAAGAGCTCTCTATGTATTTGAGTTAGATGAAAAAGAATAACCGAATTTAATATAAAATTCGCTGCACTTCTTGCTGCACTTGTTGCAGCGATTGGATTGTCTAAGAAACTTCAGCTCGTTGTAATTGCTATGAACTTCTTGATGTTGGCCAACAAGAGCCTCTCTTGAACTGTTCTTGCCGAGCGTTTGTAGCCTAGACACCTTGCTGTCCTTGAATACAGCACACTTCCTGCAGTTCGTAGGAATGGAACTCCTCGGACTGCAATTCAAGAGGGTGAACAGCGGGACACCCTACAGCTGAATCCAACCTATAGCCAAATGCAGATCTTCTCCTGTAGCCAAGGAATGACTTGCAGTCTTCTCTTGGCAGCCGAAGACCTACCGTATAATGACTACTGTAGCCAAGAAAATGGAATAATGCAGCAAGCAAAGCAAGGGAAAAAAAAAAGGAAGAAATCTTAAAAGAAGGAAAAAGAAATGCCGCAGAAAACAAGAACTCAGACACAAGAAGATTTACATGGTTCGGTCCTTAGACCTACATCCACAGAGGGAATCGCTACCAAAATTTACTAGCACAAAGGAAGATTTAGAGGCTCATTACATCGAGGAATCACAAAGTCTCTCTAGATTTCTCTCTCTACTAGACCTCTCCCTCAATTCTAAAGCCTCTCCAAGATCTTCCTCCCCTTGCTGAATTTTCCTCCTCCTCTTGATCTTCTTGATCAGATTTTTCTCTCCTTATGATGGTCTACTCATCCCTTAAGACCCCTCATCTATTTATAGATGGATGAGGCTTCCAAGAGGCAAGAAAAAAAGAAAAAAATTACAAGTGTGCCATTTTATGTCATAATTAAGAGCCATGAATAAACAACATAAATCAAACAATTCATTCCACTGCTAGCAAATCCTCATATCAATAAATAACATAGTATGATTTTTTTTTTTCAAGTATGCTTAAATTAACTAATAACTCCCCGAAATCTTGTAAGGACTTCATCAGTTACACAAATCAATTAAGCTCAGGAACTATCTATATGATTACCTTGGTAAGAACTTCAGTAAGATTTTTCTATTTGTAGATCTTCAAAAAAGTCTTGTCATCTTCAACAATCAATCTAATAAAGAGGTATTGAACATCAATATGCGTCATTTTCTAATAATACATTTAATTTCTAGCTAATAATACTGCATCACAAAAGAAAAAAAAAAGAGTTGTCCTTATGTAACCCAAATCTTCAACCAAACATCTCCGCCAAATAGGTTCTTAAATGCTTCAAACAGTATCAAATACTCTATCCTTGGATTGAACAAGGCAATTTGATAGGATCTGAAGCAAAAATCAACAGGATTCTCCACAGAAATTAGAGTAAAACAGATATTTTATTTCAATAACTCAAACTCAATGAGAATACAAAGATAAGTACCTACAATTAGAGAGGTACGTAGGAAATTCTCTCCCAAAGCCTAAACCTAAGACTAACAACTAAATCCCATGCATATCTTTAACCCTAGACATAAGAAGCCTATCTATACCCAAATAATAAAAACTATAAAAAACTAAATTGCCCTTGCGCTTACAAAAGACAAATTTGCCCTCAGGCTAGAAGCCCTCGTAACAATACTCCTCCCCTACAGTTGTTTCTATTTCTTCATTCTTTGTCTTCTCGTCCTACACTATGAGAACTTGTAATCTTCAATCCTTGCAATGGTGTCCTGAACAAACTTCTCATCACATCGAAAACAAACCCCTTGACTCGCTTCTCACGAATCTCGGTCTTTGTAAGGCGCTTGAGTATTACTCCCAATTATGGTTCATTATTCGTGTCTCATGCTACCTCCCTCTGGACTTCCACTCTTTGAACTTTTGGCATCATTATGGTTGCAACAGTTTCGTACAATAGTCCATCTGTGCTACTCCTGCTGGCTTTCTTAATCTGGTTCTTGTCTCCCACCATCTAGCTCAATCTCTGCGATCTTAGTAGTCAGAGTGTTGCCCGTATGTTGGGCTTTAAGCCCTTCATAAACTTCTTCTCCAATTCTGCTTTAGAAATCTCCCGTAGTCGTCCCGACAATAGTTCAAATCTCTCTCTATATTTCATGATTGTCACCTCCTGAGTCAAGGCATAGAATTGCTCGTGTATGGCTCCTTCACGATTGGCTCCGGAACATTCCCACAAA